GCAAATGGGAGAAGCCAGGCTGGGAGAAAATTGGAGGTAAGGATGGAGTGGGAGATGAAGGAGAACGAAAGGACAGTGAGAGAGAAAGCTGTGAGCTAAGGAAGGAATAGGGAGGGGGTGGAGGGCAAATCTGTGAGGTAGGCAGGACACTTAGGGGATAAGGAGGGATGGGAAGATAGGGGGAGGTGGAGGAGCATGAGGAGAAATGGAGACTGTGGAGGCAAATGACAAGGAATGGTGAGATAGCCAGAGGTAAAGTATGAAAGGGACAGGCCAAGAGGTGAAACAGCAGGAAAAAGGACATTGGGAGGTGGAGGGTCACAGGAAGGAGAGACTCAGAGAGATTGAGGTGGAGGAATAAGAAGTATGAGATGGAGGATGAGGGAGAAGGTATGGGAGATGGTAGAAAGGACAATGAAGAAGAAAAGAGAGGCTGGGGAGGATAAAGAGACTGGACATATGGCAGGTGGTGGAGGAAAAGGAGGGAGAGGAGATTGAGAAGAGAAAGGATGAGGAGACTGGGATATGGATGAAAATGACAGGAGTGATGAAGAGACATCTAAGGGATAGAAGAAGATAAAGACTGGAGGGCAATGGAGTAGGATGGATGAGGAGATGGTGGAAAATAGCACAAGGGGGGATTGGAAATGTGAGGGTGGAGGAGGAGAAGGCAAATTTGGGTGATGCAGTTGAGGGGATGGGGAAATGGTGGGGGGTGAGGGTGGATTTTGGGATGGGGAAGTGGAGGAAGTTGAGTGAGGAGACAGGAAGAGATAGAAGAGAATGAAGAAAGGTGTGGAGAAGATGAAGAGTGGAAGAAGTTGAACATGGGGTGGAGGTGGGAGCTAATGGAGGATAAGCAGGGACAAGATGATGGTAAGATGTAGAGGACTGATGGTGGGAGCTGAAGAAGAGATGGTGAGATGTTGACATGAATATGGAAAGCTGGAGGCAAAGCAGGATGAGGATGGATAGCACAGGGTGGAGGTGAAGAAGGAAAAGAAGACATGAGGAGATGGTGGAGGTGAATGAGGATAACAAGGAATGGGGTGTGGTGAATGAGGGAAGGGCAGGTGAGAGGGATGGGATGCAAATGTGACAGGAAGACTGGAAGGTGGATATGGAGGGCAATGGAGGAGCACAGGAAGCAGGGGTCGGAGATGGTGGGTGGTGGAGAAGAACAAGGAGGGAGAAGATGTGTAGGATGCAGGGAGAGTGGGAGGGGACATGGTGGGTAATGGAAGAGCATAGCATGGCAGGGAGGGAGGGGACACAGCTGATAGCACACTCTGGAACGTGTGGAAGGAGAGGTGGGATGTGGAGGGATAGGAGGTCACAGGTGACTGGAGCACAAGAAGGGATAGGACATGATGGAGGATGCAGGAGAACAGGAAGGAGGGAAAGGACATGGTGGCTGATGGAGGAGCACAGAAAGGAAAGATGGGACCTGGTGGGTGATGGAGGAGGGTGGCAGGGCGGGATGGGACACACTGGGTGACAGCACAGGAAGGAGGGATGGGTGGACAATGGAGGAGCAGCAGAAGGACGGGTGGGACATAAAAGGAGGCACACAGGAGAAGGGATGGGATGTGGTAGGTGATGGAGCACAGGAAGGAGGAGTGGGGTGGAGGGTGATGGAGGATGACAGGAAGGAGGGCTGAGCTGGGTTAGGTGGGTTATGAAAGAGTGGAATAAAGAGGGATGGGACATAAGGGATCAAAGAGCAGGGATGAAAGGGCAAGGACAAAAGGGATAGGACATGAAAGATGATGGATGAGCAAAAGAAGGAGAGGTGGGTCATGGTGGGTGTTGGAGGACCTCAGGGAGGGACAGTTTAATGGAGTGAGCCTTGGAGGAGGCTGGGACCTGCAGGTGATCAGAGAATCACAAAATCCTGAAGGTTGGAAAAGACCTCTGAGCTCATGGAGTCCAACCGAGGGGCACAAGGACAAGAAGCCACGGGCAGTGATGGGAAAGGGGCTGGGGGGGGTGTGTGCAGGCTGGGGTGAGCTGGGCAGGCTGGGACGGGACGTGAGAAACAGCAGCACCACACAAACAATGCAAAGCTGAGAGGAGCCTGGTGTGGGGTGACAGCACTGGCAGTGAGGCCACGGAGGACCCACCCACAGGTGGGTAACAAGAAGCCCTGGTGCTGTGGCACAGGTGGGGTCAGCACATGGGGACGGTGTCAGGGAGAGAGGGGTGGGTGAGGAGAGGCTGAGACACCGTGTGTGGGCTGGGCATCAGGCAGGATGGTGGGGACAGAGGGACAGGATGCATCACCCCACAACTCCCTCTGCAGCATGGTTCCCCCCCCGGCACGGGAAGGCAGCACCAAGGGTGTGGGTGAGGGGTTGCAGGACCTTTATTCATCACACAACAAGCAGGCATGATACAGGGGTGCAGGACAGGGTGGGCAGGCAGCCTGTCATCGGAGCACAAGGTGCCCTTCATGCGACCTTGGCATGGGCTGGTGAGAGGAGGCAGGAGGACAGGGCAGGGGCAAGCATGGCTTTGCCCAAAACACCTCGGGCTTCACCCCAGGTTGGGCACTGGCATGTGGGGAGGACAGGGCAGAGTCCATGCAGGGGCTGGGGTAGAATCAGCCACCTCCACACCTCAAATTTTCCCGACAAATCCCTTGCCAGCCTCGGCTCAGCCTCCCTGGGAAATGCCCAGCACTGCTATTTACAGAGTAAGACAGAACTGACCAATATTACAAATAATTAAAAGGCAGTTGTAAAAATGAGAAACCACATTCCAAAAGTAGAGGAGTCTTTAAAAAAAAAAAAAACAAAACCAAAACCAACCAAAACCAAAACCCCGATTTATCAATGAAAATGCTAAAAACCACCCCGAAAGGATCTATGTACAGCAGGAGATCGCCCGTGGCAGTGCTGTGGGACAGAGACCCGACTGCTCCCTGGCAAGGCAGGGACAGCGCCCGGCCCCGGCTGCTGGTGAGGGTGGGTGGCACCTGCCCCGTGCGTCCCCCACCCGTGTGACGAGGGTCCCTGTGGGGCCAGGAGCGAAAGGCCATCGGTGCTGGGCCTGAGGAGCCCTGGCTGATGCTGGTTTGTGTCTGGAGACACAGGCAGTGAGTGGCCGTCGCGGAGGTGCTGACGGAGGCTGCGACGTGGCAGTGATGCAGCCCTGCTGCTGCGGGCAGAGAGCGGCTGGGCTGGACGGGAGAGGGCAGCAGACTCGGCAGCACGAGCAGTTTGTAAGTGGAACTGCAGGATGACAATGTGCAGAGGCCCTGGGAGCAGTGTAAACACCCCCAGAGCAATGCACAGAGCCCTTGGAGCAGCGTACAGAGGTCCTGGGGTAGTCTACAAAGCCCTGGGAGCAGCGTACACGGCCCCAGAGCAACACACAGAGCCCTTGGAGCAGTGTATGGAGCCCCACAAGCAGTGTACAGAGCCCCAGAGCAATGCAGAGCCCTTAGAGCAGTGCACGGAGCTCCTGGAACAGCGTACAGAGCTCCAGAGCAATGCAGAGCCCTTGAAGCAGCACACAGAGCCCCTGGAGCAGGGTACACAGCCCCTTGGAACAGTGCATGGAGCCCTTGGAGCAGTGTACACAGCCCTAGAGAAATGCACAGAGCCCCAGGATCCACAGGCACCTGCAGGCAGCTCCATCTGGGTGAATCCCTGCCTGGCCCCTGGCAGGCAGCTTGAAAATAGGTCAGGCAGCTGCCTCAGAAATCTCTGCTCTCTCCTGGAGCTGCACAGAAGCACCAACGCTGCTCTGTGTGGGGCTGGGTCACAGCCCCCCAGCCCCAGGAGCTCTGCACTGCCGTGGGGGCTGTGGCTGGGTAGGGTGACAGAAAGGATTTTGCAGCGGCAGACCACGGGCCACGCTTGCAGCCTCCCAACCACCAATCTCTTAATCCAATTGGTGCCCTACCAATGTATACTTCATTTCGGTTATTTTAAAATGCACTTGCGTTTTACATTTGCAGGCTGTCCGGAGTTGGCCAGAGCCAGAAGTGGAGGGGAAAAAAAAAAACAAACAAACAACAAAACAAGAAAAGAGAAAAAAAAAAAAGAGAAATATGTATATTCAGCACTTGGAGGAGAAATAACTGCAAGTGGCCCCAAGCAAGGAGGTGGGTGCAAGGCAGGGGCACCACGGCCGTGGCCCCTCGGGCGCAGGGGATGTGCACACACACACACACACACACACACACAGAGGCACACACTGCCTCTCCCCACGCTGTGCACCCAGCGACCCCATCCCTGCAGCTGGAGGAGCCCCGGGGACCACCACCAGGACCTTTCCCAGCAGCAAAGGGCCTCAGCAGCACCCCCAGAGCAGAAGGATGGCCAGGGAGGGCCCCCCCAGCCAGCGCAGCCCGGGTGACCGCAGGGAGCCTCCCTCCCTCCTCCTTCCTGCCCGGGGAAGCACGTGTGGCTGATGCAACCGCCCGCAATCGGGCCGGCGGGATGAGCTGGAGCCCGGGCAGGGCGGGCAGCGCTGGCAGCACCAGAGCCAGCACCGCAGTCGGGGCTGGCAGGATGAGCTGGAGCCCGGGCAGGGCAGGCAGCACCGGAGCCAACACCCTCCGTCCGCACCTCCAGCCAGTGCTTCCACACGGCCACGCTTCCCCCCAGCCCTCCCTGTCCACACGAGCAGCCTCCCCCGGCTGCTCTCCCCTTCTCAGGGCCCGGCGAGCCCTCGGTATGGCATGGCGGGGTCTCAGCTGACATTCCCGGGGCGGTGGGCACCGGTGCGGACCCCCCAGTGCCGGCAGCGGGAGGTGAAGTGACCACCCTGGCCGGGATGTCCCCACGCCCCCCAGGGCTACCGGCAGCCTCCGGCCCCACATCTGCTTCGTAAGCGTCCCCGCCGGGGGCGAGGGGACGTTTAGGAGACAGATGCGCCCGCGCCGCCTCCGAGAGGGGCCCCCGCGGGCGTCAGCGCGGGCGCTCTTCTGGCAGGACTCCGGATAGCAGGCACTGGATAGCTGCGTCCCCCCCCCGGCCCCCGTCCTTCACTCACATCGGGCCCCGCGGCTTCTCCTCACGCCCTGGGGGGGTCCGCGGGGTGCAGTTGCACTTGGAGGGGGAGTGCGCGGACGGCGGAGGGGACGGCCGGGCGAAGCAGGAGGTGAGGGACTGGGAGCTGCAGTCACACGCCGTGTCCTGCAAAAATAGACAGGGCACAGCGGGGTTAGAGGGGCCGGGCACCCCGACCCCCGCCACGGCGGGACACCCCGGGGGGCACCGTGCCTCGTTACCTCGCTGGCTAAGGCCGAGATGAGGTCGGGGTCCCGCAGGGCTGTGTCCTTACTGCCCTGCCCGGGGGACGAGGGCTTGGGGTCCTCGCAGCTGCTCTGCTTGAGGACCTTCTTGTTCAGGACGCGGGAGATGTTTTCAGCTGGGTGGTGGGTGACGACGCTGGGGTGCTCGGCTCTCTTGCTGCCCTCCTCCCCAGCGGCCTCCTTCTTCTCCTGGGGGGTGGTGGGGCTCTGTGCCCGCCCGCAGACATTCCTGAAGAACTCCTGCACGAGGCCATACTTGGGTGCTTCAGGCTTGGCCCGGCTGCTCTCAGGGCAGCCCGGCTTCCAGATGGACTCGGTGCTGCCCGCGTGCTCCACCACGCTGAACAAGCTGGACAAGCCGTCGTTGATGTTGCTGAGGACGGGGCTGTCGCGGGTGGTGGTGGAGCGGGCCCAGGCAGAGCCGTTCTGCTTGCCCTGGTGCAAGTTCCACAGGCTCCTGTCCTTGGAGGCGTCCAGCTTGGAGGAAGACCTCCTCTGGAGCTTCGGAGAGCCGTATTTTGGGGAGCAGCACGGCCGCTCGATCCTGGAGTGGACCTTATCCAGGGAGGAGGAGATCTGCTTGCTGCGCACGGACACGAGGGAGGAGCTGCGCGGGGACCAGCTCTTGCCGTGCACGCCTGGCGCCGCGCGGTGAGGTCGGTCTGGAGGCGACGCTCACCGTCTGGGATGGTCTTGTGTCCCCAGTGGGCCAGCCCCACCGTCTGGCTGGAGGTGCTTTTCACCTTCCTCTCGAGGGAGCTGGAGCGGATGGCCTGCCGCACGCAGTTGGTGATCTCCTTCATGTCGTCGCTCATGTTGCCCGAGATCTCCAGGTCGTGCAGCGCCGGCGGGAAGCGCGGCACCGGCGGCACCGCGCCCTCCACCGCGCCGCGTCCAGCAGCTCCCGCTGCTGCTTGGAGAAGTTGCACAGCCACTGGCTGTAGGTGCCCTCGGTGCTGGCCGACTCCTCCGGCTCCTTCGGCTTGGCCATGGTGAACAAGAACCCGGGTTCGATCATGATCTTGCCCTCCTTGTTGTGCACCAGAGGCGCCTCCAGCCGCCGCACCACCGGCGGGCTGTAGTAGATGCGGATCCCGGTCTTGTCGGGCGCCGTGTAGCTCCTCTGTATTTGTTTGTGGGCTGGGTCGTGCCCGGAGAGGCTGCTTGCCCGAGAGTAGTCCCAGGAGGACACGCCCAGCTTCTCCTTGGCCAGGCTGTCGGGGGCGGGTTGTTCAATATTCACATATGTACAGTTGGAGGGAGGAACACTGGCGCTGTCCCGGATCCCATTGGGCAGCAGCTGGGTGGCTGAGGATGATTTTTTGCCCCGGGCATGGTCACCCAGCCCTGGCACGGTCTTTCCAGGGAGGTAGGGAGAACAGTCGAGCAAGCTTTCGAACTCTGACATGGAGGAAACCGACTTGGTCCTGTGGGGAGAGGATTGGGATCAAAAGGGGACAGAGCAGCAGGCTGGGGGACAGTTGAAGGCACGCTGCTCCCACCACAATGGGACCTTCTCGGGCACCCAGTCCTACTCCTCATGGGGAGCCCTTGGCCTCCAGGACTACCCTGGACCATGGCTGCATCTCTCCCTGATTGTCAGGGATGTCAAGCCTAGGGGCCTTCTCCGTGCCCTGGAGACCATGCAGGCACCAGCACACTCACCTTTTGAGGTTGGTTCCCTTGGCTTCTGTTTCAGAGATTGTCTCCTTGTCTGTGATTTTCTCATTGAGAGCCTAGGAGGGCACAGGAGAAAGCTCTGGGGTCAGCCAGCACAGGACCAAAGCACAGAGACGGGCTGGAGCATGGGCTGCATCCTGCTCACCTCCAGCACCACCAGCTTCCCACACACTCCCAGGCCCAGCATCCCATTCCCAGGGTTGCATGGGGCTCACTGCACCCACACCTATTTTAAATCAGCTTTTTATAACCCCATGGAAGCTCTTGGGGTTCAGCTATGCCCTCCACCCTCTCATTCTTCCCAATTCCTGATGCTCCCATTTGCAGCATCATTTGCTGTTTAAGAGGGTGTTAACTGGGGTAAACACAACCTCCCACCTAACCCTTAGCATAGACCTGAGCCCAACGAGCACCCTGAGAGTCCTCCACCTTCTCTTACCCACCTCTTTCCAGTTGCTGCCATGCTTCTCCATTTCCGAGTGCTTCAATGCCCATGGGTTGGATCCTTTCTGCAACTGGAGAATGTGACAGTTATTCAACAGCTGCAATATGTGCCCCTCTGGGCAAGTGGCAGAGGCTGGAGGACACGTTCAGGATGGGGGACATCATACCTGGTTGAGTTTGTTCTGCAGGTCCTTTGCTTGCTGCTCTGCCTGCTGCTGCTCCTCCTTGAAGCGAGCCAGCAGCTCCACCTTCTCCTGGTTCCAGTTCTTCTCACTGATCTGCAGCTGCTTGGTGAGGTCCATGACAGCGCTGTAGGACTCTGCCAAGAGATGCTGGTGCTCCTCACGCTCCCTCTTCAGTGCCACCTTCCAGTCCGGCAGCGCTCGCTCTGCGATCCCTTTGCCTGCCTTTGACTCCAGCTGCAGGGACACATTGGTGGCTGTGGGGGACCCATGGCTCCAGAGTGGTGCTGGACACCTCCAGCAGAGGGGCAAGGCTGCGGGCATCCCGCTTCCCAGTGCTGGTCCCATGCTGCCAGCTCGGTCAGCAAGCGTGTCCCCAAGGCTGTGTGCTGTGGGCACCATGGCCAGCCCTGGCTTGCAGCCACGTTGTGCCAGCTGGCCTGGCAGATGGTCACCCAGTGGGACACAGGGCTGAACGTCCTGCCTGCCTGGCTGTGCTCTGCCCACACTCCTCCATGGGGGACCTGGCTCCTGGAGAGGGGCAGCATCGCCTGCAGGGCTGGCAGAGCAGACCCTGAGGATGCTGCTGCCACTGGGGTGCTGCCACCACGGCAGCTCTGCTCTCTTTTGAGGGGGAGTGGGGACTTGGGGACCACCGCTGAGCTCTGCCTGGAGAAATCCTGCCTGGAAAGCACTGGCACCTGCTCTAGGGAGCAGAGCTGACGTACAGCTGTGGGCTGCTGCCAACACAGCGTGATGGAGCGGAAACCCCTCAGCACTGGGAGGGCAGGGCTGGGGGACCAACGGGACTGACTCTGCAGGCAGAAGCCCAGGCTGCCCTCCCTCCACCTCCTGCCCCCACCACAGCCATGCATTCCTTTTGCAGCATCCACAGGGATGCAGAGCCCCCACCTGCACTGTAACTCGGGAGAGGAGAGGAGGGCTGTGATGCCACCCTCAGATGCCTGTCCTGGGCAGGGATGCTGAGCCCCTGTCCCATCCCACCCCCCCATACAAACCCAGCAGAGGAATAAAGAGCATCCTCTGCTGCTCCACAGTCAGATTTCCATGCCAGCCTCGTTGCTATAGAAACTCGCCTGCCTGAGCGGCTGCTAATTAAGATTCCCACAGTGCCACCCTGCTCCCAGCCCTGCCCAACGGCCAGTGCTTGGCACGGGGCACAGGCCCCCAGCCCCCAGCCAGGCAAGGAGGGGGCTCTGCCAGCCCGCGGGGTGCCCAGGGCTCCCACCTGGGCAATGTGGCACTTGAGCTCGGCGCGCTCCATCTCCCAGGCAGCCTTGGCCTTGGTGAACTGCTGCTGCAGCTCGCTGGCCCCGCGCCGCTCCTCCCGCAGCTCCGTGCACAGCTCCTTCAGGGTCACCTTCATGTCGGCCAGAGTCTTGATGCACTCGTTGGGCTGCCAAGGGAGCAGGGGTGAGCACGGGGAGCTGGGACCCAGAGGGTACCCAAGCGGGTGGGACTCCATGGAAGCTGCCCTCTCTGTATCCCAGCCCTGCTCCCAAGGCAGGAACCACCCCTGGGGGTGATGTGTCTGCACTGAGCATCCCCACCCAGCCATGCACCCCGAGAGGAACCACCACCCCATGTCACTTGGCAGCAGCTGTGTCAGTAAGAGCCCTCAGCAAACACTCACTGGTACCAGTGGCTCCTTGAGGGCAAAGCAACGTCACCCTGCAGAAATCCCCTCCTCCCTGCCCCAGCCCGGAGTGCTGTGATTCCTGGGGCTCTGCAAGGTTTCCCCAAGGGCTGAGAGGAGCTGCTCCCAGGTCCCCAGGGTCCTGGTCCCCACACTCCCTCCCTGCACGCTCATGCCCTCAGTGGTGGCCCCATTGCATCCCCATCAAAGCAGGATAAGGGAGCTCAGCCCCTGGGCTCCAGTCTGCACAGGTTGAACCTCACATATGGCACTGCAAGACCACAGCCATGGAGGGGGCTGATCCTGCCCCGATCCACCCCTGGGCTTGTGGGGACCCCACTCACTGTGTTGGGGGTCCAGGTGTCCCCAGCACACATCTTGTTGTCTGCCTGTTGCTGTGGGGCGAGCTCCTCCTCCTCCAGCAGCAGGTACAGCTCCTTCATGCTGTTCACCTGCGGGAGACACCACGGCTGGGCTGAGGAGGGGACCCACAGCCCACGGCCAGGGACAGGGGACACCCAAACAGCCCTGGGTGGGACGTGTAGGCACAAGGGACAGCCCTGGGGAGGCCCAACAGCGTGTTCCCCCCTCCAAGGCAGCTGAGGTGGGAGCCCCTCAGCCCACTGTACCTCCAAAAAGTCCTCGCCCTCACTGTGCACCATCTTGCCCTGGCGCCAGCGCTTGAGGAACCACTTGAGCTTCATGAAGAGCAGAAGGAAGCTCTGCCTGAACTGCTGTGACTCCTGCACCAGCAGATTCTTCTCCTGGCTCCAGAACTTCTGCTCCAGCCGCCTCTGCAGGTTCAGGCTCTGCAGCTCAAACTCCCGCCGCAGCAGCGCTTTCTGGTGGTCCTCCTTCAGCTGTGGAGAGATGTGTGGGCACCTGGGGTGGTGTCTCCACCCCAGGGTCTGGGCTGAGCCTGGTGTCAGCCCCATATCCCTATTGTGGGGACCTGCAATGCCCTGGCAGTGCGCTGGGGACACCAGAGCCATCGAGGCAGCGCCACAGGGGAAGCTCTGCATGGCTGCACACCCATGTGAGAGGAGTGAGCTCAGCCTGTGTCCCTTGAAGGTGGGACATGCTGTGTGCGCTCCCAGGTGACACTCAGGTCCCCGAGCGGGTCATTGGGCTGGGGCTGGAGGTGACACAGCCACAGGTGTGGGGACAGGCTGCTGCCTACCCACCTGGCAGATCTTCTGTGAGAAGTTGTCCACCTCGTCCTTCCTCAGCTGCCTCTCCTGCGAGAGCTGCTCCTGCAGCCCCCGCAGGCTCTCGTTGGCCTCTGACAGCACCAGCTGCAGCTCCTTCATCTGCAACAGCCCGGAGAGACCACGGGGATGGTGGGCTGTGTCGGGCTGCACCTCCCCGTGTCCCTCCCCAACGGGGCTCTGCAGCTTCCCCAGTGCCCAGCTGTCAGCCCTGTCCCACAGCCCTGCTGGCCCAGGGGACGTGGCTCCCTGCCCGTGTCATACCTCAGTGGCGTAGGAGTCGTTCTCCTCAGGCCGGCAGGTTTTGTAGCTCCGGGGATGTGTGGGGTCCGTGTCCTTGGCGTGGGGGATGCGGAAAGGGTCGGCGTCCCTAAAATCAGGCTGCTGCATGCGTGGGCAAGTTAATGAGAACAAACCAAAAGAGCGGGAAGAAAAAAAAGCCAGAAAACAAAACAATGGGTCTCCGAAACAGTAAAGAACTACAAGACGACAAAAAGGATGAGGAGGAGAAGGAGCTTCATCACCATGGCGGGAGACAATGCAGAAACCAAAAGGAAACACAGGATGAGGAGACACGTGGCCTGGATTGTTTGGGGAAAGGGGAAGAAAGAGAGAAAGAGGGAAAAAATGTGCAAACACCAGTTACGGTGCCATGCAGTGACTGGGGGAGACTGGGACCCGGGACTGGTAGGACCACATGCAGAAAAATAGGACTCTGAACAAGGGAGTGTGCTCCAGAAAAGGGGCTGTGCCCGCAGCCCCAACCACCACTGACATCCCTGGTCCCCAGCATGAGCTGGGACCCCTGAGAGGAGGGTGATAGCAGGGCATGAGCTGCTCTCCACTGCTCCAAAGGTGTTCCTCATTGGATGCCGATTTGCCCTGGAGCCTTTGGTCTCCAAATTATCCTGCTTGGGCACCCCTGGGGGCTGAGGCTTCCTGCAAGCGGGGTCCCCACAATTTGGGCTGCTTTCAGGGGCTACAGGCTGCTCTCCTCCCACCCAGCTCATCCCCAACATGAAAGAGCTTCCAAGCTGGGGATGTTGGGTTGAGCAGCCAAAACATCAGCCCCTGATAAGGAAGGATTGCACCTGAGAGCCCCTGGCCACAGGCAGGGCAGCCTCGGCACGACCAGCCTGTGCTGGGGTGTGCCAAGATGCCCACTGCCTCCTGCCCTGGGCACACTCTGTTGGAGCAGAGTCCTACCTTGTCCCCGGTGCCACTGGCATGCAGTGAGGTGTTAGTCTGGATTTCGCTTTAGAGAGGCAGGAGGGAGGTTACACTGGGGATCAGGGTTTGCTCCATTAAAGCAGGAGGAAATGGGGCAGCAAATAAAGCAGCAGCTGCTGTGAGGGATGTGGGAAGAAGCTGTACCTGGAAGTCGGAGGAATGGTCCTTCTGCAACCCCTCTTTGGTGACGTCGTGGCTGCTGGGGCTGGAGAAGGGGAAAGAGTCTGTGTGCTCCTTGATGCCGCCGGTGAGGTGGTCCACCTTCCTCACGAGGCAGCCCAGGTCCTGCTGGAGCACTCCCAGCCGCATGAGGAGCACGTTCATCAGCTTGGCGTCGCTGGGGCTCTCACCACCACTGCCCACCGCCTCGCCCAGCAGCACCCCCGCGCACTCGTTGTCCAAGCAAGCCTTCAGCCCGGAGGTGAAGCCGTTGGCATCCGAAATTAAGACGTCGATCGCTTTGCTGACGAGCGTCGCCTGGTCCCTGATGCCCAGCAAGGTCTCCAGGTCTTTGGGCTTGAGCACCTTGGCGGGGCCATCGAGCACCTTCCCGTTGCCAGGCACCCTGTCCTGCCCGTCGGCCTCGCCCGTGCTGTCCCTCCAGCCGACGGTGGGGACGCACTGTGCCGAGTCTCCGGCCTCGGCGTCGGTCTCCAGCATGGGCCGGGTGGTCTGGCAGGAGGCCAGGTCGCAGCGCTGCAGGTTGGAGAGCAGCACGCGGTTCTCGTACTGCAGCTTCTTCACCTTCCCGCTCAGCTCGCTGATCTGCACCTTGGCCGTGGCCAGCTCCTCCTGCGAGGGCTCGCTGACCACCGAGCAGCTGTCCTCCGACAGCGTCACGTCCAGCTCGTGGTCCGACTTGTACTTGCTCAGCTCGTTCAGCAGGAGCTTGTTCTGGTCCTCCAGCTCCAGCAGCGAGCGCCTCAGCAGCTCGGCCTCCTCCTCCACGAACTGCAGGTGCCGGCGCAGCTCCGCCACCATGTCCCCTCCGTCCCCGCAGCTCGAGATGCCCACCAGGAACCGTGTGTCCTGCCCTGGCAGCTCCCTGTCCCCCTGGCCCTTCATGTCGTCCATCTCCGCCCGCAGCCCGCGGTTCTCCACCTCCAGCTCCACTATCCTCCGGCTGAGGATGTTGGCTTCCTCCTCCACCAGCTTGAGGTGCACCTTCAGCTCGGCCTCGCGGGAATGGGGAGAGTCAGCCAGCTCCTCCACGGAGAGGGAGCTGTCCAGGTCCCCGTACAGGGACCGGTACTTCAGCAGCTCCTCCTTCATCCCGTCATTCTCCTTGGCCAGCTTGGTCAGCTTCTTGCACATCAGGGCCGACTCCTCCTTGGCAAAATGCAGCTGGCACTTCAGGTCTGCGCTGTCCTCCTGGGGACACGGAGGGCGTGGGTGTTAGAAAGGTGCTCACAGGGGCCATGGCGGCTCTGAGAGAGCCCTGGGGACATGCCACCCTCCCATCCCAGTCAGCCCAGGGAACCTGCAGCCACTCATGGAGGGGAAAAAGCTTTGAGATCTATCCTGGAGGCTTTCAGGGACAGCACCGAGCCTGGGCAAGGAGACCCATGGCTCTGGCCCCAGGAAGGACATTGAGCCACCAGCAGGGATGTGTAGACCAAGCCCAGCCCAATCCACCACAGGGCAGAGGAGAAAAGAAAGCTGTCAAGACTCCACAGGGCAAAATAAAAGTCACCAAGGTTTCCTCCCAAAAGCCAGCAAGCACTGAAACAACTGGCACTGCTGCCACTGCACTGCACCCTCCCCTAGGCTCTGCTCCTCCCACTCAGCCCTAAACACTCCATCACAGAGCAGAGAAGCAGCAGTTTCAGCTGGAAAACTCCCGAAAACCAGCCCTTGGTCTCGCTGCCACCACTTTGCCAGGAGACTGAAAACCCAAGCAAAGCCTCAGCATCAGCTCTCTGGTCCCTTCCCAGCCCCTTTGCTTCTCAGGACTGTTTCTCTGTGTGTTTGTTTTCTTTTTTTATTTAGCAGTTAGGACCTTGGCTATTTGCCCAGACAGACCGTTCCTCTGCTCTGGGAAGCTTTTTGGATGGAGGACCAGGATTTCCTGACGTCCAGCTCGCAGCTTCCCGTGCCGTGGGGTCACTTGAGTGCTCTGAGCTCTGGTGTGGTGGCTGCCAGGAGGGGACCTGCCTGGCCGTGACCCTCACCCTGCTGCTCTCGCTGGAGCTGGGTGGGTGCTGGAGGTGGCCAAGCCCTTTGGCCAGGTGGCTGCTGGCCCTGGCAGCCCTTTTCATAGCTGAGCTCATCTCCTTTCCCCTTTTCCTGGCTGGCAGAAACAATCTGTCCCCCTCTTTGGATGTTCCAGGCCCCAGCTCTCCCAGCCATGCCCACCCTCACAACCCTAAACCCTGCAGCAGATATTTACTCTGCAAACTTCCTGGACTGCTCATAACAAGGGTGATGGGAAGGGGGGGGGATCCCATGAGTTTGGGGTGACATTTCATTCCCCAAATGTCCTGCTGTGACCACAGGAACCACACTACTGCTGTTCTGTGCTCGTGCACAGAGACATGGCCTCGTTAAGGCGCATTAAACTGCGTCCCCCTAATTAGCTGTGGAGATTAGGGGAGGGCTGGCGGGCAGCTCTCCCCGCCAGGGCAGACATGACCTCAGTTCCTGTTTTTCCAGGGGAAAAAAAAAAGCAGCGGCCCGGCGTGTCCCTCTACCCCTTGGCATCTCCAGAGGGACACACACATCCCCAGGACCCTCTCGAGTGTCCCTGGGGTCTGGGCAGACCTTGGTGTTGAGTCTGTCCCCCACAGCTCCATTTTTGGTGAGTGCTGATGCTCACCCAGCTTGGCTTGGGCAGGAAAGGGGCCCAGGAAGCCACCGATGAGTCACAAGCATCTGTGCCCCCAGGGCCACCAGCCCTGCCACTGGAGAGGGAGCGGATGGAGGGGCCACATCCAGGGGCATTTGCACCCAGGGAAGCCCAGGGTGGGCTCCTTCCTGGAGCATTAGTCCCATCACAGAGCTGGGGCTGCATCCAGCCCTGCATCCCCAGGCTGAGGGGTCTCAGCTCCGCAGGAGTGTGGGAAGCAGAAGGGGTTTTACTGCTGCCAAAAGCTGGGGGTTGTTTCCTGCCCCAGGAGGAGACAGAGGAGGGGCTTCAGCCTTGGGAAAGGGGTGATGGAGGGGCCTCCTCAGCTCGGGACAGAGCCGGCTGTAGGTGCAAAGCCACAGTCTGCTCTCTGGGGAAGTGGGGGAAGGACGCTGGGCTGGCCGGAAAAGGGATCTTGAGGATGGAGTTAAAGAGAAATAACAAATGAACGACTGAAGGGGAAAGTCTTTGAGGGCCTAGGGATCCCTGTCCTGCAGCTGCACAGAGTGGGCTGTGCCAGCAAGGACACAGGTCACCCAGAACCCCTGGGGTGCTCGGGGTCCCTGCCATGAGATGCTCTCAGTCAGGAGTAGCTTTACAGCATCTCCTTCCCTGCTCCAGCTTTGGGGGAACAGATCTGCTCCCTAAAATAAACCTTTCATGTCTTTTTGCCTTTGAAAGAGGATTTTTCCTCTTGCCTATCTATCCCAGCAACAGCAGCTCTGCCTCTCCCAGCCCTGGTAACAGCATTAGCGAGTCACAGCAGCTCAGCCCAACAGCAAGTGACAGCTGAAATCCTGCTGCCACCAGCAAATCCCCCATCCCCTCCTCTGCCCCGGCAACCTGCGAGGGGCAGGGACAGCGTGTGGCCTCCAGCCATGCCCCGTGGGGACCCTCTGCTCTCCCAGACCCCTCTAGGCTCCTGGGCCACTCTCAAGCACAGCTGTTGACAGGCAGGAGGGACCCAGGCTGTGACAGCCACAATCCAAGGGCATGAGCAGCTTTGAAACGTAAAAGCCGAAGTCCTTCAGCTCCTTACACAGGGAAAGGGTTAAAGCCACCGCCTGGCCACTGCTGCTCCATTGATAAATGAGACAAGGGAGCGGCTGAGGACAAAGAGGATGGCCCAGCACATCAATCCCTCCCTTATGCGGGGGCTTTGAGAGGCAGGAAAGCTCTGCAAAGCCCTGCAAGGAGGGGATGGCACTGCCATGCCCAGATTTAGTCCTGGGCTGGGCGTATTCTCCAGCTGGCACCATGACCTGGGTGTTGGTGGGTCACTGTGGCGTGTCCTGGATGCACTGGCACTGATACCTGCACTGATGGCTTCTTCTCTGTCTTCCCAAGGGAGCGAGACCCCCGTTTCTTGAGGGAATTCTGCAGAGAGCAGAGAGAGCTGTTACTCGTAGCAAGCACACAGCACCCCAGTGCAGACAGACAGACAGACAGACCCAGCATCCACGCCAACTTTTCCAGCTGCTTGTGAACCCCAGGAATACACCCAAGCCCCAGTGGGCTGAGGGAGGCCCTTTGCTTGGAGGGAGCTGGACTGGCGAGCATCACATCATGAGGTTTGGCCAGAAATTCCCCCTGCAGGCAAGCGAGCAGTGAGAGAGCAGGAGTGAGCAGGAAATGAGCCATGGAGAGTGGAGAGGCTGAGTCACAGTCACTGTCAGGGCTGGATGGAGCAGGGAATCCAACCCCCAGGCCAAGGGACAGCTCTCAGGGCATTCCAGTGTGAGAGCAGCAGTTGATGACATTCCCCATCGCCTTTTCCCCAAGCAAGGGACACATCCTGGTCACTCAGCTATGGTGAGGGCTCCTCAGCAGGACAATGCTGACTCTGCTCTCAGGGTCTCTGGGGACACAAGGGACAATGTCCAGGCTAGTGAGGACAGCTGGGAGATGGGGAAGGCAGGCAGAGCAGTAAGGGAGACCAAAAGTGTGAGAAAAAAGCGGGTGCCCAGAGCACCCTGGGGAGGGGAGCTGGGGGAAAACCTTCAAGAACATCCACACAGCCCCCATGAGCACGATCCATGCAGCTGCCCTGGACCTATTTCCAAGCTGGTGCTGAGGCCCAACAGCCAAAGAAAGCAGCTGTGAAATGTAAGCTGCTGCCTGTGCCAAGGTGCCGGGCTCCAGGCTTTCCTATTAAGGCCACGACCATCACTGGAGCTGCTGGAGCTGCAGAGCCTCTCCCAGGGGCTGGCTGTGCCACGTCGACATCCCTCACCCTCATTGCGCTGGGGACTGGGGCTGGCACAGGACATCACCAGCCTCAAACAGCCCCAAGCACCCCAGGCACAGCACCCTGGGTCAGGGGACATTGCTCCACCTTGGGAGCATCCCTTGGGGTGGCTGTACCCGAGAGCCTGGTCACAGCCTAGCTCCACGTGGCAGGTTTGGCCCCCCAGGAGATGCTATGTAGGGGTAGAGCAGAGAGGAAAATGCCTGTGCCTTTGGGGACGATCCCCAGACAATTATCCAATTATGGGAGAAACCTCTTGGAAGGGAGAAATAATCAGCCCTGAGGGGTGAGCCCAGCCCTGTGCAGCCTCTTGGCTTGGCTGCTAACGAGCTCTGCCAGGCTCTGCGCCCTCCAGCAGCAGGGAGGAGGTGGAGGAGGGCTGTTAGCTCACTTTGACTAATGTTTGCCTAATTAGCACTCTGCAATCAGTGAGTAACCCCAACGCCCTTGCTAGCCTGGGGACACTCCATCCCGAGCTTGGGGACCGTCTCTGAGCTTGTACCCGCCAGCAGCATCCCCCCGGGCTCGGGCAGCTGCAGAGGGGCTGTATCCTGTCCTGTCCCACGCTCTTCAGCCAGGGCAAGGCAGCAGCTGCCTCTCGGAGCCCCCCTCACACTGACCACGCAACCATTTTCTCTGCCTGTTTTCCAGGCGCGGGAGAGCTCCCTCCCAGCTCCCACCGCTGCCATTTGTTATTCAGCCCGCGCTCCCGGCTGCAGGGAAACCCATTCATGGCTGTCAGTGCAAGCCTGCACAGCCCAGGGACGAGACACCCCGCGCGGGGGACACTGCTCCGTGTCACCAGCGGGAGGATGCTGAGAGGGGACGGGTGTGACCACGGCCGGGTCCTGCAGCTCCTTCCCAGGAGCGGGTCCCGGCATTAAACGGAGCCGGCCCCAGAGATCCCAAGCCGTGTGCAGGAAGCACGGTGGGGGAAGTGAGAGCTCTGCCTTCCCTGTTCTCCTCCCCCACACTGCCCTGATGGCTCAGCCAGCGGTGCTTCCCGAGGCCCCCCGGGGACCAAAGGCATCCCGGGCAGTAAGGAAGTGGGTTACAAGCGCTGCAATGGATCACAAGTCCATGCTGTCACTGGGATGCCTTTCCTATCACCAGGGATAACATCCTGCCAGGAGCTGGTCCCAAATGTGGCACACAGTGCCCTGGACCTGTGCATATGGGTACATGTGTGGCTGCCCAGGACACAGAGGGGGTTGTGCACCCACCCAGCTCTGCAGCACCACCAGGACACCTTCAGGACACTGCTGGGACACCACTGGGACACAGCTGCCACACACCCCATGGCTCAGCCCAGTTTGAACCAGCAGCATGTGGTCAGGATACATCCAGCACCGGGCACTGTGCCAGGGACACACAGACCCCACACATCACGCTGGGCTTTGCCCAGTGGGAGTTGGGCACGGCCCAGGTGGCCAGGCTGAGCAAGTGGCTGAGGACATATAAAGTGTCTCTAGCACAGGGGGGGAAGCCCTGCAGCCCCCCTAGATGGGGCAGAGCCAGCCCGTGCCCGCAGGGTGGGATGAATCGTGCCGAGGGCAGGCACTGCTCAAGTTTCACAAGCATCTGCAGCAGGGTTTGGGTTTCAGTGACTCAAGCAGGGTTGGGGGATCCCATCATTCAGGGCCAGGACACCTGCTACGAGCAGAGCCTTGGGGACTCCTCCCGGGGCCCCCTCCCGTGTCCCGCTCACCTCTCGGAGCTTGTCCATCTCGTTCTGCACCACCTGCTTGGCCAGCTCGGTCTCGATGAGCCGCTGGCGCAGGTCCTCGTTCTCCTCCTCCAGCCTGATCCTCTTCTTCTCCACCACCTCCAGCTCATTGTGGAGCCGCACAGAGACGTCCTTGGCCACCTGGGGACACAACAGGGGTCTCATCAGACTGCTACACTGTGCAGGGGGCTGGGACTGCAGCTCCTGGGAACCTACAACACTCATGCAGAGAACGTCAGGCTGTTACTGAGATCCTCTGGAGCAGACATTGGTGGGTGACACTCTGACTCCTGTGTGCCCCCATCCCCTGGCCAACCTGCCTCCTCCATCTCTAATCCAATGCTGTTGTTGCCTTTTTCTACCTTTTTCCCACACCATGACACTGGAAAAGCCCCCAGACAGTTGGAAAATCTGTTGGGAAGCATCAGAACAGGCAGCCTCTCACTGTGGGCAGCAGCTGTGCTGGTCAGGAGAAAGGCGAGCTGCTGCATCACATTACAGAAAAACCAGCAGCTGCCCCGAGGTGAAGGGTGCCTACACCCACCTCAGAGCCTCCCCTCTCTCCAGATCCCTGCAAGGGAGCAGCCCCTGGCATAAAGGGAGCTTAATAGCACAAAACATTCACTCTTGCATACATAGGAAGGGAAAAATTGTCCCCAGTGCCCGTGTTCCCCTGCACAGCCCAGGACACCAGCGCTGAGAGGAAGCAGCAAGCCCCTCTGTAGGGCTGGGGGAGCTCAGGCCATGGGGTCAGGCTCCTGTTCCCCCAAGGATGGGCTGTGCTTTCTTTCCCATAAAGGGAGAAGCCAGAGGAGGCGTTTTTGGCAGCAGCAGCCCAAGCTGGGGGCTGATGGGAGGTTTGGGGAGGGGATCAGGGCCCCAGCAGGGATGGGCAGCACAAGGCGGGTTCGCAGCCCTACACTTGTGTTACCAGGACCGGCTGTTTTCTGCTCAAAAAACAAAGTTAGTCCTCGAGCTGCTGCCCATCCATGCAGAGCTGTCTCCGACGGGCACCGCACCCCCCTCCTGGCAGCAGCTGTGTCAGCAAGAGCCCTCAGCAAACACTCACTGGCACCAGCAGCTCCTTGAGGGCAAAGCAACGTCACCCTGCAGAAATCCCCTCCTCCCTGCCCCAGCCTGGAGTGCTGTGATTCCTGGGGCTCTGCAAGGTTTCCCCAAGGGTTGAGAGGAGCAGCTCCCAGGTCCCCAGGGTCCTGGTCCCCACACTCCCTCCCTGCACGCTCATGCCCTCAGTGGTGGCCCCATTGCATCCCCATCAAAGCAGGATAAGGGAGCTCCAGTCTGCACAGGATGAACCTCACATATGGCACTGAGAGCCCCATCCTTGGGCCATGCTGGCCATCTCCACCCCGAGATGTCCTCAGACCTGGGGTCTGAGTGCAGCCAAAGCACTGCTCCCACTTCTCACATCACCACTGCTCGTGGGGAATCACGATGTCCCCATCAACGGCCTCACAAACAGCACAGCCCCACGGAGCTCCCCACCCCCCCACATCCCCCGCCGCCTCCACACGGCCACAACTCATCAAGAACCACTGTGGGGGCCCTGCCTGGGTGGGGACGTCCCCTGCCAGGCTCACCTTGACGTCCTGCTCGAGGCTGTGGATGAGCTCTCCGTCCACCTGGCCGGTCTGTGCCACGCGCAGGCTGCGGCGCTCGGCCTTGCGCAGCCGGTACTGCAGGATGCGGCACGTCTTGCTGGCCTGGTCCAGCTGCTGCCGGAGCTCCTGCAGCTGGTACACGTCCTCCTCCATGTAGACATCCCTCATCTCCAGCATCTCGGCGCGCAGCTCCTCGATCTCATCCTGTGGGGAGACGTGTGTCGGAGGGGGCAGACCTGTGGGACATCTCGCCACGGTGGCTCCCCTGCCCTCCTCCACCCCACGAGCCATTTTCACAGACCTTCAACTCCTTGGGTCAAGCCCAGTTCTGGCAGGAAAAGGGCTCAGAGCCAGCTGGGCACCATCACCCACAGGCGAGCCAGACACCCGTTGGGGGGGAACAGTCAACACGGGCGCCTGAGAATATTTGTGGTAAAAGAAAGAGGAAGGTGGGGGAGGGAGAGGAGCTGCAGGAGCAGCTCAGGCGGCAGGCACGGGGAGAAAAATTAGGTTATCTTTGGAAAAGATGTGTCAGGGAGGCAAGGGAGGGAAGGAGGAGACGGCAGGCGAGGACAGGGGAGGCAACACAGGGACATGAACGAGATGTCACCAGCGAGGGGAACCAGAGCTTGCCCCTTGTTTTGCCACCAAGCAGCAGTCAATGAGCTGGGTGCCCACTTCCACCCCTTCCCAGTCCCATCAGCTCTCCCAGGGATAAACCTCTCCCAGACCACCACAGCCTCTGGCATGAAGCCTTTGCATCACTGTCACAGCAGGGCCAGGGGTTGCTGGCACCAGTGCCAACCGAAAGCATCCTCCAGGGCTGCAGCACACAACTGCTGTGGAACCCCCAGTGCCACCCCCTCATCCAGCACAGGGTTGTGGCCACTGGGAATGCTCAAGGACTGTCCCCTATGGATCCACACAGGCTGCACTGCCCAAAGCTCCTTTCATGTAGCCATAAACAGATTCAACCCAAATCCTAAGCAAATGCTCCAGCCATCACACTGGCTGTTCTCCTCAACAAGAGCCAGTGGACCCAGCACACCCCTGCTAAGGGATCAAGTACCTGCATTCCTGCCCAAAACCCTGCCACTAAACACCACCCACTGCTGCCAAACACAACTGCCACTTGAGAAGCGAGGGGCTCACACTGCCACCCTGCACCACGGCATGGCCAGGGGAGGGACACGAGGATCCAGCACAGGCAGTGGGGATGCTCAGCCCTGATTCACCCTGGGCAGAGGGGGACAGGACCCCCCTGCTCCCCACACTGCCCATGACAGTGTCCTAGAGCCTGAGACTGCAGCTCTGTGCCGGCTCTGCCAGGCGCTGGCACCGCGGCTGCCGTGCTCGCCCGGCCCAGACAAAGCCCCAGCTGCAAGAACTCCCCAAAAGGCAGAGCTGAGCCCAGGGAGGGGGGTGGCAGCTGCAGGGACAAGTCACAGTCACTCACTGTTGGCTTTAAACACTTTGTGACAAAGAAGGAACGTCAATTAGACAATCCCAGATTATCTCCTGGCCTGGGCTGGCAGAGCCCGGTGGCACCATGGCCACCAGTGTCCGGCCACCCTCCAGTGCTCTGCTGCTTGCTGGGGGGTCTTGAGAACAACAGCAGAGCAGAAATAGCCTGAGGCTCCGAGATGGGCTGCAGGAGGTCCCAGGGACAGCCAGCCAGGCTGTTCCAGGGACAGCCAGAGACCGCCCTGTGAAAGGGCATCACTGCAGACACGTTTTGGAAACCCCTCCGGACACCTGAAATCCCCCCGGATTTCAGATGTGAAATCCCCCATGGATGAACCACATGTGCTGGCAGACAGCCCTGTGGTGGCTGTGACACACCCTGGGGTGACAAACTCGCTGGGAACCCACCCCCATGGCAGTGCTACAGCCCTGGGGACACCAGCAAAACCCCCACGAGCCAAACCAGCCCAGGGAGCTGGTTTATGGCATCTATTCCTTGGGAGCTTTCATAAGACAAAAAGCATTATGGATTGCAGGTGAGCAGGCGCAGTGCAACGGGTGGTGGAAAACAGCCTCGCTACCAAAGTCAGGGGAATCGTGGCTTGAATACAATTCCAACCCCACTCCAGCACGGACCATTCCTGCTCCCGTTTGCTATGCGGCTTCCCCAGGCAGCAGCTGAGCAGGGCAGGGAGCAGGGACCTTGGAAAAAACCCAACCAAACCTTGCATTTGCTTGGAAGGAAGCCTGGGCTTGCCCTGCTAAGAGCTCCTGCTTGTTTATGCCTCGGGTTGTAGCAACCGTTATTTTAGGGGGAGGCCGTGTCCAGCGTGAACCACAATCCACAGCCCTGTGGCACAGCCCTGAGCTGCTCCTTCACTGCCTGCTTCCCTGTGGAGTGGGGCTGGGGGATTTTGAAGCAGGGCTGGCACTGGGGGGGGCTGGGAAAGCGGTGCCTCCCTTCACTCCAGCTGCAGGAATTTACCTGCATCCTATAATGCCAATAAACCCTTGGAGTGGCCACAGCCCGGCAGCCCCAGCTAGCCCCAAGGAAGGAAGCCACGCCACTAAGCTATAGTAAGGGGATTAGGACTGGGGAGTGGAAAAATGCCAGCTAACTGGAGGAGACCTTAGGAGGGCAGAGCTGACCTCCTTCACAGCCAGGCCATGGCAAAAGAGCAGCCCTGTGGGGTCTGGAGGCAGCACAGGGGGCTCTTTATGGATTCAGGAGTCCGTGACAGCCACTGAGCCTCACCCTGTGCATCTGCACATCTTCCAGAGTTGAAGTCCAACTCAGCAAAAAATCCATTGGACTAAGGTGAGAGCAGAGCCAGGGGAAGGGAGGAAACCCCATAGAAACACCACAAATTCAGGGGTGGCACTGTGAGCATGGTGCACCGTAAGCAGTGCTACATGAAGTGCGAAATGGAGACGAGGTGGGCAACACTGAGGAGGAGATAAATGACTTCTCTCCAACACAGCTGCTGTGCTCAGCCACTTGTCCCATAAACAACAGGGTGCCCACCCCTGTGTGCAGTCACAGCCTCCAAACACTCCTGGGGTGCTCACGCCCTCCATCCTCCAGGATTACCCACTGCTGCATCCTGCTCATCCTGTCTCTGCAGCAGCAAAGATTTCATGGTGTTTTTACACCAGAAATCACCTGACTTGGAAAAGACACTGGGAATCTGCAGTCCAGGGAGACTCATTTGAATGCCCAAAGGACTGTGTGCAGAAGCAAACAGCCCATTTTGTGTCTGCAGGAGCCAGGTTACCCTCGATGGAGGAGCCCAAGAGACAACCTTCCTTCAACCTCCTCTGCACAAACCTCGGAGACAACTGTCTCTCCCTAGGGAGGTTATTAAGGAAACTAAGAAGCGGAAAGGTGGGATGCAAAGTGCCTGGTTCCAGTTCAGGAAAAAGGAACCGTGCATTTTCGGAGCAGGAGGAGGTAACAGCCGTGTCCACACATCCACTTGCAGGACAGCAGCTCTTCCTGGAAGGGCAAGACCTGGAAAGGGCTGAGCTTTAGGGTGATGGCCCTGAGCAGCGGCAGGGCAGAAGGGGGGCCAGTGGGGACAGCAGACCACACCTCAAAATGCAGACCAGACCCATCAAAGGTTGCAAGAAGAAGAGTTAAACCTTGGATCTCCTGCCCAAGGGGAGTTACCTGCTGGCTTCAGTGAGTGCAAGAATGCAGCGAGCTCAGAGCAGAGCAGGGCACTCTGCGCAACAGCAGCTCCTCAGCAGGACCCGCTATCTCTGGGAAGCAGAAAGCAGCCAGGGATACAAAACAGGATCATGCAAATGCCGCCATGGCTGGCTCTGGAGCCGCTGCCAGCACACACACCCTCACTTTGGCAGCCCCAGGCTCTGGGGCACAGCCAAGCAGCAGCCGCCTGGCCGTGGGGGACGGGCAGCGCTTTGGGGGGCACAGCCCTGCCTGCATCCCCCACCAGCACCCCTAAACCTCAGTGCGGGATGTAGAGGAGGAGAAAGGCTGGAAGCTGCCTGGATGTTTTGCAGTGATGCCTTTGTGCAAATCTCAGGGTCCTGCTGGCAGCGGCTGCGCCTGCGGCTCCCTCCCCTCGTGCAAAGACAGGGATTACCGTGCAGGAGCAACAAGCACCGGCTTCCTCCGAGATTACAGGACAAAAGCAGCAGCTTTCAATTAACTCTGAGCGCCCGTCAGGCAGGAGAGGGAATTATGCTAGAATTTGATAGGGAGAAAATAAAATCAGAGGGGGTTCTTAAAGGAAACTGCCCAGGGTGCTTAGGCATGTCCCTTTCTAGACAGGGGTTCCCAGCAAATGCAGCTCAGCCCGAGCCTGTGCTGGGGTGCAGTGGGTGGAAGGATGGGCAAGGCACACCCATATCACACAAAAGGTGCGATTTTTTTTTTTAGATGCATTAACAGCAGCTCTAGCCCAGTTCTGACAGCAACCACCAGCCATCCTTCCCTCCACGTCACGCTGGATGGAGCTCAGTGCAGCACTCTGTGCACTGATCCCTGCCCCTGGCCAGCACACCAGCTCCCACTCAGCACTGGGAATGAGGGAAAAATCAACATTTCTCGGCTTTACGCCTGCCCCCATAAATTCACAGGCAAACAGCTGGGGGCTCTCTGCAGCCCAACCCCATGTCGTGCACCATCCAAAAAGGCAAGAGGCTGCAAAGACCTCTCCATGGCAAAGCCATGTGCCCTGGCTCTGCAGGTGGTTACTGGGATCTCTGGGAATTGTCCCTGTCCCTGTGGCTGGGTAAAATCTGAGCAGCAGCAGAGCAGGGCCCCAGTGCCAACCAGGCTGCCCAGACACAGCCCCCAGTGCCCCTTTGGGATGCTCTGAGAGCCCTCGCTGGTGGTATGTGCTGGTCCCTGACTGCCTTGGGGAAAACAAGGCACCCACTCACTCTGCATGTTTCTCCTAGAGCTGGGAAATGCATGCAAACCCCGAGGGATGTGGGATGACTCAGGGCAGGGAGCGGGAGGGGGGCAAGCAGTAGGAAGGCACAGGCAGGGCTGTGCTCCCAGCATTATATGGCTCTTGCCTAAACCCCTTCCCGCAGAGAGGAGAGGAAAGGGTTTGCAGGCATCCCCTCCCCTCGCTCCAAACCCTCTCCATGCCCACTCTTTGTCTGCCTGTCCCTCTGCAGCTGCTGCCGTATCACATCTCACATTTTCCAGCCCGCTGAGCAGGGCTGGGAGCTGCTCTCCAGCACACGGCTCAGCGACAGTGAGACGGGGCAAGGACACCCAAGACACCTCCTCCCTCACCAGGCTGCCAACCTGCACGTGAGGAACGGCCCCTTTTTGGGAAAACACTTGGAATAACCCATTTAGGGAGGGTTACAGCAGGTGCACCACCCTGGGAGCAGGGACAAGAGGAGGCACCGGCCCGCCCGGTGCTCCCAGGGTGGAAGGAGAGAGGCAGAGCCTTGCACAGATCTGGGCTGGAAAGAGAAATGGGTGAAGTGTGTTTAAACATGTACATTTTATTATGTCAGCCGAGGAAAGATGGGACGTGAGCTGGCACTGCTGGAGCTCTGCTGGGAAGCTCCCAAACCCAGCGTGCAGCACACGGGCGTAGTAGTACCACACACGTCTGGCTCATGCCAGAACGTCACCAAAACCCTCCCACCCCCAAAAATCCTCATCTCCCTTTCAGTACGCACTAGGTTTTAGCTGGCTCTGGTGAATACATTAAAAAAAAAAATATTCATCTGCAGCTACTTGAGTGAGTCCTAGGAAATAAGTCACCTTGGATAAGCCTGATTCACCCATACCCGAGGAGAAGGGAGCTGCGTGGCAAGGCAGGCAATGCCAACGCTTGGGTTAGGGCTTTATTTTTGCCCTAAGTCCTCAAATCCCTGAATTTTTAGCACAGACAGCACAAGCCAGCACTCTGCTGCAGCCCAGCCCAGTTTTCTGCTCCTTGCTGGAGAAACTAGGCAAACCTTCCAGCATTTTTTGGAGCACAAGGGGAGTGTGCTCTGGGCTTCTGCCCAGCTGAAGCCAGGGTACCACCCCAGTCTTCTGCTTGAGCGTCAGGAGAAGCGAGCTCCAACACGGAAACAGGGATATAAGCAGGATGCACATGCCAGGGAGGAGACACACATGCTGACAGAGAAGGGAGGATGCCACCAGCATCCCCACGGTCAGTCTTGGTGCACACCTCCAGCAGCTCTCCACTTTCCCACTGCTCCTGGCCAGGGGATTTGAGCTGCCACTCCTCATGGCAGGTAAAACACTCACACCCCACATGCCTGCAGCTTGCCAGGAAGGAGATCCTGTGGAAATGGAGGAAGCAATCGCTCTGTCCACAGGAATGGCAGCGCTCACACGCATGTTCTTGGAAACGGAGGGGCCTCATCTGTATTTTTCCAACTCCCAGTAAATCAAAGCCCTTAAGCTGTTGCTGCTAATTCTGGCAGGAGTTGGGACACCAGCTGTGAACTGAGGCTTTGCTAACGGACAAAGGGCCTGATTGACCATCTTCGAGCATGTCACCAGTGCCCAGCTCCCACCTCGGGGCTGCAGTCCCGACACATTTACGAACGTGGGCACCAGCAGATGAGAGCTGGCCTGACTTCCAACCTGTGGCATCCGAAGAGCAGCCAGGGACACCTGGTACCCATCCCTGAGCCCTGCAGCATGTGGCTGCACAAGCATCTCAAGCACAGCTCCACCCTGAAGGGGAGTGGAGGGTTCAAAACGCCTGCAGCCCCCTGGGACGTGGCACCTGGTGGGTGCTGGTGCCCACCCTGCAGCAGGCAGAGTGTGCCAAAGTGCACCAGGCCAATGTGTGACCAGAGGCAGAATGGCTCCGTGCCCCTGTCCCCTCACAGCATGTCTGCCCTGGCTTCACCATGCACCCATGAACCAGGCAGCCACTCTGCACGCCTGGAAAAAGGCCCCAGGGAGCACAGGAACCAGGGGGAAGAAGAGAGCTGGAAAATCTCCTGAGGGTCTGGCAGCATCAGCAGGCAGGGAGAGCAGCAGGGAGCATCCTACCCTGTGCCAAGCTGGGCTGTGCCCAGCTGCACAAGGTCAGGTTATGCCATATTGTGTCCCAGGATAGCAAACCAGGCTGAGCCAAACCGTGCCATGCTGAGCTGCACCTTACTAAGCTGTGCCAGCCCAGGCTGTGCTGAGCCTCGCCATGCTGAGCTAGGGCCATGCTAGGCTTGGCCATGCTACACCCATCTGTGCTGTGCCAGGGCAAGCCATGCCCAGCTGGGTAATGCCAGGCTGAGCTGGCCCATGTTGTGCCAGTGCCTGCCCTGTGCCAAGCCATGCCACGATACGCTGAGCCAAGCAGTGCCAGCCATGCCACACCACGCTGGACCATGCCCAGCTGGGCCATGCTGTGCCACAGCCATAGAGCTCTCCCTAAGTCCAGTGGGGCCATGCCAGGCTTAGTTAAGCTGGGCCCTACATCCAGTCATGCCACACTGTGCCAAGATGAGCCAAGCCAGGCCCAGCCACAACATGCCAGGTCATCCCTGGCTGTGCCATGCCAGTGATGCCATGCTGGGCTGAGCCATGCCAAGCCCTGCACCCAGCCATAGTGTGCTAGTCTGCCCAACAAAGTCAGGCCAGGCTGTGCTTGGTGATGTTGGGCCAGGCTGAGTCAGGGCACCCTGGGCTGAGACAAACTGTGCCCTGTGCCCAGCCATGCCCTGGGGTGCCCTGCACCACACTGTACCTAAGGATGCTGTGCCACACAGAGCTACACTTTGGGATGCTGTGCTGTGCCATGCCATGCCATTCCCAGGGATGCTGTGCCATGCTATTGCCCAGAGGTGCTGTGCCATGCCGAGCCGTGCACAGGGATGCCACACCATGCCATGCTACGTCCAAGGATGCTGTGCCATGCTGAGCCGTGCCCTCAGATGCCCTGCAAAGCTCTAGGACGTTTAACCACGCTACGGACAGCGATGCCGACCCTGGCTGACCCGTGCCACGTTTTGCCACAGTACTGCCCAGGGATACCACGCCACACCGAGCCGTGCCCGGGGACGTCCCGCCGTGCCCACCTTGAGATAGTCGTTCTCGGAGCGCAGGTCCTCCAGCTCGCGGAGCAGCCCGTCGGTGCCGGCGTCCAGCAGCTCCTCGGTGAGGTCGGAGAAGGCGAGCGAGGTGCTGAGCTGCAGGCGGCTGCTGGCCACGGAGGCGACCGAGGGCTCCTCGGGCAGCGGCGACGCCTCCCCGGCCGAGGGCGGCGGCGGCGGGGCGCTGCCGGGGGGATCGCCCAAATCGCTGGCCGTCCTCAGCCACAACTCGCAGCGAGAGCAGCTTTTCGCCTCCTCCGAGGCGGCTGCAGTCCGTACTACCTCCGGTGCTGTCGGTCAGCCCCGGAGGCTCGCCCGGGCGCGGGCAACCCGAGCCGGGCACCGACGCCGTTCTCCGCGCCCCCGGGGGCCGCCGGTGTCGGCTTCCGTGCCGCCGGCCCCTTGGCCGCGCCGCGCCGCGCACCCGCCGGCCCCTTTCCCGCTCGGCGCGAGCCCCCGCCGGCCCCGCTTCTCGGCCGCCCGTCCTTGCCGCGCCGCCGCGGGTGCGGTTGCGGGTGCGGGTGCGGTGGCGCCTCCGCCCGCCGACAGGCCGCGGGCCGCGCCCGGGTGCCCACCCCGGGGCCGCCGGGCGGCCGTTTGCTTCTTGGCCAGCGACCAGCCGGGCACCTCCTTGGGGCGGGCGGGCGACGGCGCCCGCTGCGGCTTCTTCTTCTTCTCCGGAGCGCGGCGGAGTGGAGGCGGGCCCGGGCGGCGCGGGGGCGACCCGGCTGCCGCCTCGGCTCCCATCTTCCCGCTGCGCTGCGCTGGGGCTCGCCCGGCCTTGCGGCTTGCGGCCCCGGCCTCGGTCCCCGGCTCCGCCCCGCCGCCGCCGCCGGCGGGGACGAGCGGCGGGCGGCGACCAAAAGGCCGGCGGAGGAAGTGAGGGGAGAGCGGGGGGGGGTTGGTGGTGGTTGGCCGTGCTGGCGGCAACAGCGACCCCTCCGCCCGCCCGGAGCCGCGCTGCGAGATCCCACCCTGCCACCGCCACCCTGCAGCCCCGGCACCCCGCGGGGATGGGGTGTCACCCGTGGATGGGGGCATCCCCGATGGATGGGGCATGCACGGTTGTTGGGGGCATCCCCGATGGATGGGGTGTACGCGATTGGGGCATATATGATGGATGACAGCATTCCCGATGGACGGGGACATCCCTTAAGGATGTGGGCATCCCTCATGGATGGGGCAGCCGTGATGGATGGTGACATACGGGATGGATGGGGGCATCCCCGACGGATGGGGCGTCCCCGATGGATGGGGGCATTCCCGATGAATAGAGCATCCCCGGGATGAGGTGTCCCCCCTGGGTATCTTCCTCAGGGCGTGTCCTTAGGAGAGCCGTGTCAGGTGCCCCCAGCGCGCCCCTGTGGGTCCCTGGAGCATCCCTGGTCCCTGGAGCATCCTCTGTCCTCTGCATAGTGGGTCACTGGGGTGCCCCTGCGGGGCAGAGTCATGCCGGGACAATCCTGGATGTGGGGGTTCCTGGGATGCCCCTGAGAGTAAGGGTCCCCCAGGACAGATCTGGGGAAGAAGGTCCCCAGGGTGTCCTCAGCAGAGCGAGTCCCCTGGGAGTGCCTGTAACTGCAGGTCCCCCGGGGCAGTCTCGGAGCTGAGGGTCCCCAGGGTACCCTGTGGGTGAGGGTCTCTGGGGCACCTCGGTGGGCGGGGGTCCCCCGGGGCAGCGCTGTAAGTGCAGGGCATCCTCGGACATGGAAGTCCCCCATGTACCCCGTGGGTGGGAGGTCCCTGGGGCCCCTCCTGGTGCCGATCCCCTGAGGCACCCCCATCTGTGAGGGTCCCCTGGGGCCCCCTGCCTCGCTGCCCAGGGCCAGCTCGGCTGCCTTGTGAGCAGTCGGAGCGCGCACAGTGCCTCTCCAGGGGGAAGGCAGCAGCAGCGAGTGCCTCTTCCAGCCTGCTCCCACCCACCCGCCGCGTCTCTCATACGTTACCAACCGGCCCCAAAGCCTCTGCGAGCATCCGAAGGCAGAGTTTGAAAAATGCTCCTCAGCTGTGTTTGTAAAATGCTCCTCTGTGCTTTCCCGCGCGGCAGCACTGCTGGCCGTGGCCTCGCCACGGGAAGCGATGCTGTGCCGTGTCATACAGACCCCCCGGCCCCCTGGCTGCTCAGATTCCGTTTGTGATGCTGGGCAGCACAACCCCAAGGCAGTGGATTCTTCCCTCCAGAGGCAAACCTGAGCCTGGCCGAGGGGCAGAGCCCACCCCACATCTCGGTCAGATTCTGCCCAAAATAAACACATGTGGGGTTTATCAGGGCTTTGCTCAACACCCCTCTCTGCTCAGCACACAGCCCCCTGCCCTCCCTGGGAGCCTCCCCAAGCACCAGGCACCCTCTGGGACACAGGGTGGGATTGCACCCCCTCTCTGCCCTAAACCAGCCATGCATCCAGCACAGGAAAATCAAGATTGTGCAACAAACCCAGGCTTTCCTTGTAGGTATCACTCCCTCCTGCTTGTGGCCTGGGCAAGGGCTACAAATCAGGTGGGTGCCTCTGGCTACAGCTTGTTGAGCCCCTGCTGTGGCTCTGTGAATCCTGAGGTGGTGACTCCAGCCTGCCAGCATTCAATGATCCTGACAAGGGGGATGTGGATGGAATCCTCCCAGGAAGAGGTGGGAGGCTCACTGTCCCATCCCATGCTGCAATACAGCCACTGCACTGGGGGAAGGTCCCTGGGCACTCCTGCCCTTTCCAGGATGAATCACAGCCACAGGTACCATTTCCCAGGCTCTGGCACGTTGCCTGAACCCATCCCTTGTGGGAAAGCAGGTTGAGCAGTCACAAGTCCCGCCCAACAGCTTGGGGCACGAGGGATGGATGGAGGGTGGCAGGACCTGCCTTTCTGTACGTGCTGCAGAGCAACCCGTGCCCAGAGCTAACGAAGGCTGCCCTCCCCACAGCATCATTTCCAGAGCTGTGACTCAGTCCTGCTGCATGACTGCACATGCCCCCGAGCAGGACGTCAGGCCCTGACCGACTGGTGCTGCGCTCATTAATGAAGATCATTAGTTTTCCTCTGAGCGGTGGCTAATTGCATAACACAAGGCACACCGTGGGCTGCCCTCCTGGAGCCACACAGCTGCAGGGGAGCCAGGGATGAAGGCAGCATGTCCTCAGCCTTGTTCTCAGGTACAGCTCCCAGGATGTCGTAAGAATGTGGCACACGACACACCCTCAAAATTGCTCTGGGTGAGCAAAGTAAAACTGCTTTCCTAGAGAGCAGCCTTCCTCTGGGATGCCCTTCTCCAGGACCTGGATGGTCTCATCACTCACTGTCTGCTTGCTGGAGCTGGGGTCTCATCCCTGTGCTCCCAGCCTGGCTCTGGCTCGTCCATGTGGCCTCAGATTTCTGTGCCCAGTGGTGGATGTGAATCCCACCACAGCAGGAGGTGCATCCAGCAGTACCTGTGCATCCCAACGGGGATATGGCATCTCCCCACCTGTGCAGCACAGCCAGCTGGCAACAGGCTTGGGAGGCAGGTGAGGGCTGAGCCAGCCCTGTTCTGGGACTGCTGCCCGGGGACCTCGGCTCAAAGGCTGAAACAGGTTTGGGGTGGAAGTGGGAGGGATGTTAACAGACCTCAAAACATCCCCTGGGGCTGGAGGCAATGCAGGCAGCCAGGTTTAGAGCTGAGCCAAGTCTGCCCTGGGCCAGGCGCCTGGTCCTGCACTCCCCATCCCCTTGGCACCACCATGGAGATGTGCTGGAGGGGACAGAGCACTCCAGGGCCGGGGCCGTGCCAACTGATCTCATTGATGGTCTGTGGTAGTGCTTGGTCTTGAACTAGTTGTTCCCAGGAGAATCATTCAATAAATTTGAATTAAATGTGGGCAGGCGGCTTTCTGAAGCCTCTGAAAGAAAAGCAATGAGCTTAACCAGCCCCCTGGGCCCTCAGGAGGCCTGGCTGGCAGCCAGTCAGAGCCAGGATCTGGAGCATCCCTGAGCAGCACAGAGGGAAAGGTCTGTTCTCTGGTGCCTGTGCCTCTGGAGATGGGGCTTGGGCTGAGCAGGATTCCCCCAACCACTCAGCCCATCCTGGGGGGCACTGGGGCCCAGAAAGGGGACCAAGGAGAAGTGGCCAGAGGGAACATCACCCCACTGCACTGCAAAGGTTCCTTGGAAGGTGCTGGCTCCTGGCACAGGGACACCAACCCTGCACATCCCAGAGCCACTTGTCACCCCCAGAGCCCTTGGTGTGGGCAAAGGCAGAAGCACTGCAGGGGGCTCAAGGGGACAGATCCCAAAATGTGTGTCCCAAGTGCAAAAGGCAGAGTCCAGGTGAGCACCAGGAATCAGCAGCAGGTCTTTGCACCTGAACACATTTCTGGGTCAGGCCCTGGGCTCTGCACACTCTCTGCTCCTTCTCTGGCTCTCAGTGGCAGTGCTGGCTTCTCTCCAGCCCTGTGATGAGGCTGTCAGGTGCATTTTAGGATAAGATGCTAAAAACCTTGTAGCAAAGAGCAGTGAGCTCTGGAGAGTGGCAGGAGGCAGAGCCTGAGCCCTCTGTCTCCAAAGGTGACAGCAGGACCCAGTGCAAACGGCCCAAGTTGTATTAAGCCAAGCTGAAACCCCCCTTGAACTGATGATTCTACAATTTCATAGGGACAAAAGATTTAGAAATGGTTGTCGTGCTCAGCCAATGTTCAGCATCCCCCTTGTTCAAGCAGCATTTGCATCTGCTATCAAGTACTTTATCCACACATGCACACACTGAATGACAAATATTCCAACTCTGTTATTTTTAAACACCTACATGCATTGCTTACTGTCAGAGCCACGTTCCCCCTCCCCAGTGCTGCTTCCATTGATGGGATTTTTGCTGCCAGGGAGGGTCCTGGATAGGGACACATAGCCACAGGCACAACCAGCATCCCAGGGGAGGCTATGGGAGCAGAGGGGACCGTGCGTGGCCTTCCATGCCATGCTCACAGCTGCAGGAATCACTTTGCTTTCCAGCTGTGGCACATCTGCTTGCAGAGCTGCTTGACATGATGTTGCATCAAGGACGGTCTGTGGCAACCATAGCAACGGGTCTGCCTTGGTTTTCCACCTTCCCAGGAAAAATGATACTGATTTC